TCATCTAAACTGCTCACTGAATTAGTGCCTCAGCACTTTACTGACTGCCAACAGTTATGGTTGATGTGATGAATTCATGTAACTGATAACTGCTGCTAAAAGGAAAGAGTTTCTTACTTCCTTTGCAAGTCTAAACAAATAATGTAAATTATATTGAAATCCATGCAAAGTGCACTTCGACGGGTACATGTTCTGTACAGTAGAACCCTGTTATAAAGATAAGGCAAAATACTGCAGATGATGGAAATCTGAAATAACAACAGAAGTCGCTGGGAACAAGCAGCAGGTCAGGCAGCATCTATGGAGAGAGGAAAATTAGTTAACGTTTCGATTGGTTCATGAAGAAAGGTCAAATACAATTTGTATCAACTTTTGACGTCCCTTTGAATTTTTCTTTCCGTTTGTAACTTCTGTTGAATGTTTTATTAGAATTACGCTTTGTTAGAAACATAGCAACATAGAAACAGGAGTAGGCCATTCAGCCCTTCAATCCTGCTCTGCCATTCTATAAGATCATGGCTGATCCGTACCTCAAGTCCAATTATCCGCCTTTGCCCCGTATCCGTTAATACCCTGACCTAACAATATCTACCCACCTCAGTCTTGAAGATGGGAATGGATCCAGCATCCACAGCCTTTTGGGGGAGAGAGTTCCAGATTTCCAGTTGAACTGCTGACTACTGATGATGTGCAGACAATAGCTCGGGGCAGCTACTGAGCTTATGGTGTGAAGGTAATGAATTAAAATGCACACAGCAGAAGCTGAAGCACCCTGCGTTAATACTGGTATCTCATGTTAATTTAATGCTCCTGCACTGTTGGAATGAGCAGATCCTTTAAATCATTACCTGATCACCATCATTTGATCACTAATTGGGGGTGGGGTGTATGGAGGGGGGGGTGAGAGAATCATATTCATTGTAATTCTTGTAATGGCTTGATTTTTAATGGGAGTCATAATGTTTAGTGTTGGCCCTTTAATTGTAGGCTTGCAGTTACTGAAGAAGAGAAATTATGGACTTTTGTTTTAAAACCAGAGGTGCGGAGTTTTTGAGCATGCAAGAATTATCGAATTTTAGGCATTTAAAATATAGGCTCCAAGTGTTTGGGTGTATTGTTTACGTATAGTACAAATAACATAATGTAAATTATATAGTATGTGTGTACACATCTATAAGTATTCATGATTGATATATTATTGGGTGCGAATGTTATATATTCATATCATGCATCAGTTTTATATATATACACATACAGGTACATAAAAACTTGAAGCATGAAAGTTGCTGTTAAATAAAGTGGCAAGATCTGAAACTTGCGGTGCAAGAAAAATCACGTTATCGTGAGAATCCTTTAGACAAGTGACGACAATGCCTAAACCAAGAGAGAGAGAGGCTAACTACCTTTTGTTGAGCAGAACCCGTGCAGCTCAGAGAGAAAAATAACAATCTGAAATTGACACGGACATCAATCTTTGTGATCCATACTGATGCTTTCTGTCAGCAGCTCTCTCTGTAATGGGGCGCGAGTAAAAAGGACCAAAAATCTGCCAATAAACGGTGTGTGCAGAATGCTCACATTTGATTCGAGCGTTGGTGCTGCTTATATATGTACACGCCCTTTCGTAATCCAGGCTCAATTTGCCTCGCGACATATAGCTGGCAGGCAGTTCTCTGCTTTTATTTGTGGCTTCTCATTGCCTACCTTTTTAATAAGCTTGCATTCCAACATCGGTAGAGCAGTCGTGTTGCTATTTAGAATGTAAATGAATTGTCTGTCTGGCCTTTTGCCATTGGCTCCATCCATTCAGGGGAGATTTTTTTTACCCCTGTAGTGACTTAGAACCCCCGATTGTGAGCCTGTCCTGAAATGATCATTCCGAATCAAAACAGGATTGCAAGTCGCCAGCAAAGGCAGGCTCTCTGCTTTTGAAGCTGAAGACTCCCGTGGTCGCCTAATGCATCTTGATCAAATGCTGATTGCTGCACTTCAGATTTAGGCAGTGTCAGTGCAGTCTCAGGCCTTTGATCCAGAGGGAGACTGAGATTTAGCAAGTGCCTTTTCGGACATGATCGGTGTGAACAGTGTACAGAGTGCCAGCAAAGTCCGAGTGCGGACCGGTGGATCAATGAGATACGGACGGGAAGATGCATTGAGGTACCACCCTCGCCGGTCAAAGTCACTGAAAACCTCTTATTCCACTGAGTTTGCAGCTCCACACCCTCCAAAAAGCAAGGTAAAAATGATAAATATCAGCTTAGCCATGAGAAACAGCTCGTGTGTGTGTGTGTTTGTTCGTGTTATGCATTATCTGCTGTGATAGGAACACGACATGCACTGTTTGTATTGCTGTGCAGGGGTTTTCAGTGTTGCTTGCTGTATTGCTGGTGATCTGTATTATTTAGCTAAGCTTTTCTCCTTTGCTGTAATACAATAAAAAGAGCTTCTCAAGAATTTGGCTTTTTTATTTTCGTAACCCATGGCTGGGACCAATTTAAGCAAAAAAAACACACTGAGAGAGGCAGCTTAACTTCCTTTCGTTGAGCAGAACCATGTAGCTCGGAGAGAAAAATAACTGATACATTTAAGGGCTTTTATTTTGCGTGGGTAGAGGAGGATGCAGTGCTTTTAGAATTTGTAACAGCAAAAGGAATATAATTGTAACTGCAGGGTGGGCAAAGCGTCTTAAAACGCATTGCTGTTTATTACAGAGAAGGTTGTCGACAGTTCTGGATGTGCAATGATTGCAGTACTAGCACATACTTTATAATGGCATCTTATTTTTAAAGAACTGGTTCTCCTCACTAGTGGATTGAGGTTCCTTTTTGTGCCGGTTCTCCCAACTCTCCCCCACCACCCCCCCCAAAAAGAAATATCCCGATAATGTGTCTATTCCACAGAACTGCCGAACACAGATTTGCTTTGAATCCTTCGATTGTGTCTACAGTGAGCAATTATTTTATCGTGGGCTCAGATGAGGATACATTTTTTTTGTAAATACATTTTTGTGTCTATTAAAAAGGTTTTTGTCTGTGTGCTTTTAGGTGAAGGTCTGTTTTCTGTAAACCGTTTTACAGAATTTGCTCACTGATAGCATTGAAATGCCTTTACCGCTTGTAAACAGCATTGCTTCCCAGATACAGCATGGTATCTGTACAACAATGTGGGAGCATGATGTCAATACTGCAATATATAGATGTTAAGCACTCATCTCTGATCCAGAAGGCTTCAAGCCCCAAGTTGGGACTTCAACCTCAGTCGAGGCTGAAACTCCAATGCAGCGCTGCTTTGTTGGAGGTGAGACTTTAAACTGATGACGGGTGTGCCTGTTTGGGTGGACGTTAAAGATCCCATGATTCCCATATTCAAGAGAAAGAAGGGAGTTTCTACTGGGATCTTGACCAACAATCCCCCGAATAAAATTGGTTATTCACTTGGTGGCTTTTGTGAGACATTGCTGTGTGCAAATTGGCTGTTACGTTCTCATACAATATGCACAGTTGCTATACTACACATGATGTATCTCTGAAGCCCTTTGAGACGTCTTGATGATATACGGCACTATATCAAATACAAAGACTATTATTACATTATAGGGAGGGTAGTATCTGGGCAGCAATAAAGATGAATGTGGTAAAGAAGAAAAACAATAAAGTAACCATGCTTCTGTTTTATTATTTTCACTGCTCGAGCTCCAGTATGTGTCCTGACCTACAAGATTAATCTCCAGGAATATTTGGTTGTACATGAGTCTAACTGAAAGAGGGAGGGGAGGAGATGATGGAGGGGTGAGGTGAGGGAGGGGAAAAAAAGAGTTGTTGAATCTTGGCTTTGGTGTTTTACCATCACAACAATCTAATTGACATTTGTCTCAATTAAAACTGTGTAGAATTAGCACAAGTGCTGTTTAAACCAGGGAGATCACCATAGAGAAATTTACAACAGTTTGAGTTAAAAAGCTGGGGTAGTCTCGGAGCACTCAAATTTACTCCAAATTGTGACATTGTTTTAAGGTTGCAGAATAACGAAAAGTCAAGTATATAAAAATATATTTACTTTACATATAACTGGTATCCTAAGCTGAGGTTTGATTATTTGAGTTAACAAAATGTAATTATTTTAACATTTACACCTACAAAATACACAATCATTATACTTCACATTATACCTGTGAAACACCTTGAGATGTTTCAGTTACATGATAAGACGTTATATCAGATGCAAGGATTATTATTGATATTGATATTATGCGGGTGATTCTCCTGCTTCAAAGTCCGGATGATCACAGATGCTGTATCAAATGCTATGCTTTGGCAGTTGGTGAATGAATTTGCATTCACCAATAGCTTAAAGTGAAAGTCAAGTCTTTACTTCTCAATTCCAATGCTGATTGGAATTGATTCAGTGAAGTAGTCTGTTCACTTCCATCCCATTATACGGGAAGTATAATAATGTGGCTCTCCTGCAAAGATCCTCAAAATTTGAAGCATTACAATGGAGGGTACCAACTGCTGGACTGCCAAAATATTATTATTGCTTTCAAAATAAACCTCATCATCATGCCTCCTCTCCAGTTTCTTTCATGCTGTGTTTCTAAAACAAATGGTTTCTGTATATTTTTCAATCTCTTATTTTTTTTCAAGTAAAATAGAAATCCTAGGGCAAAGAGCATTACTTAATCAGTAAGTTTGATTTCTGGGATTTGCTGTGATAAGCTAAATAGTTGCTACATCAGGGGTGCAGAACTGACATGTGGTGAAAAATATTTGTCGGCATTTGAGTAACCATTACAGTGGCAGCAATCATCAATTGCGCGCAGGGTGATTGTGCCACAGGCGTCTGTAGCTTTACACCCTTCACCATCCAGCTTACTCAAAGGGCTCTGTTTTATCATGCACGGCCTTGCATTAATTGAGCGTGTCCTGCTACAGCATGGAGGTAACTGATAGCTCCTCAAAAAAACAAACGTGTCTAAATGGCTGCTTCTGTTTGTCTTGCAGCCGCTGTACAACTCGATCAAAAATGAAAAGCTGGAATGGGCAATGTAAGTATCTTGGAGGCTTGTGTCTGTTAGTGTCTGTGGGATTGAATCTCCTTAAGCCTTCCTCCTGTTAAAGTCTTTGGAGGTTGGCGGAAATACAAAAGATGGTTTAGTTGTGGTATTAACCCATTTACAATGCATCTAAAAATCCGTCTGGTCTCCTCTTCTGTGGAAAGTACAAAGCATGTTAATATGCTAATCAGCGTTTACAATTCATTGTTACAAATGAGCATGTTGTCATGTTTCAAATTATTTCCATTTCTTTCTGGTGCTGATTAAATTGGTTGCGGACTAGCGGGTGGGTGCTGTAGTGTAGTCTTCTCTGCATGCGCTAAGGAGTGGCAAACATTGGGAGAGTTATGCGATCAGCTGATTCTAGATCAAACGTCAGATGGATCATAGAGAAAGCAACACTGCTTACGCTAATCTGAGGATGTGCTGGCATTCCTAACTTCAGAGGAGTAAACCAAATGTACCATCTTGGCTCTGTTGTTGTTGTTCAGTGACTCATAAAAGCTATTGTTTGATGTCAGGCAGAAAGCCTGTTTTATGATTTTTTTTTCTGAGCTCACATTCGCACACTGTACTTGTAATGGAAACTGCAGTGACATAGAAACATAGGAATGTACAGGATTTCAAAGGTGTTTTGGGCTGGTTACACATTCTGGCCTACCACCCCGAGTGCAGGTGGGGAAGGTTCAATATAATAATAATAATAATAATCCTTGCATTTGATACAGCATCTTATCATGTCTTCTACACATCTCAAAGCGCTTCACAGAATATACGGCAAAGTGAATTGACTGTATATTTTGTGGGCGAAACGTGGCAGCCAATTGCGAAAATGAGGAGACGCCTTATATAAGTATTTCACTGCTGAAGTACTTATGTGAACCAATTTAGGCTTTTCGACTTGAAACTTCGTTAATCCAGGCTTTCGGGCATGCCATTTTGAGAGAAAATAGCTAAAAGGATGATTTTCTCAAGATGCCCTCCCAAGACCTTGAGAAGACATGGATGGAGAAAAGCCAGTAGATTTGTACAGGGGAGGAACTGTACTTCTCTTTCTCTCCGCCTCCCCCCCCCCGCCCCCATCCACCTCCTCCTCACACACAGTCAGAGCAGGAAGTGTGGGAAGAAAATGGTGTCGTTGCTATCCCTGCTGTTCGGAACACCTGACAGGAGGTTTGAAAGAGGCTGCGTACCTGGAATTTGACCAAGGTAAAGGGTTATTATTCTTGTACAGCAGGGAGACTGGCAGTTATGATTGCATATTGGAGATAGTTGAGTTGCAACTGCTCTGTGCTTAAAATATATATTGACAGGGAAATAATAAGGGCTGAAAATGTGTCAAGGAGTCGAGAATAGCGACTTGTAGGTAAACTGGATGCAGTTTGTTCTGACCAGCGCTACTGACATCTGCTAAGTGCAACTCCTCATTGAATAAAGCATTTTTCCAGATTAATGTATTAGGTAAGCAGAGTAATAAATACGAAGACAGCAATATAAAGCAAATTCCCATGAATATATGACAAAAGTGTGAGTAAAGGATATTTCATGGACCCAATTCAATATTCCACTCACTTCTATTTATTTGTTGAAAGAATAATAATAATCCTTGCATTTGATATAGCGCCTTATCACATTTTTGAGATGTCTCAAAGTGCTTCACAGAATATACTGTAGAGTGAATTGACTGTGTTTTTGTGGGTGAAGGCATGGTTGAAGAGGAAGGTCTTAGGCGGCACTAGAAGGAGGCAAGAGAGGCGGAGGGATTGTGGGATAGGAATAACGTCACTGGATATGTGACCATTGACGTTCCATGTGCTCTGTTTACAGAAAGAACAAGGGGGATCCTGATGGGCCTCGTCCCACAACACAGGATCATTTCACAGCAGAGCATCAGTCATCCCCAACCATATTTGGAGCAAACAATGGCTCAGATGCACTCACTCACTGTGGGAGGTTTAACTGTTGTGTGAAGGTACAGGGTGTCAGAAGGGGAATCAGCCATGATCGGAAAAGGAGAAGGTCCGGCAGGCGGAATGCTCCTTTTAGATGGGAATGGAGAGCTCAGTGGGCTTTCTGCTTTCAAACAGGGGCAGGCAGTGTACAAAGCTAATGTAGTAGAGGCATTGGTAACATTATCTAAAAAGTGGCCTGGGTATAGGTGGAGGTATTTGACCCTCATTGGGCAGCCCAGCCTCCCAAAGAGCATTTGGCACCAGTATCACCAGCTATGGAGAGTTCATTGCAGAACATGTGCTAAGTAGAAGGATCTCTCATGAAGGTTCCCACTGTTGCTATGGAGATGTTGGGTCAAGATCCCATGGTCAGATTCAATTCTCTTGAACATTAAAAACATAAGAACACAAGAAATGTTAGACGAAAAAAAGACCAAGGTCCATCTAGTCTGCCTTCCACCTTCCTGGCGGTCGCATGTACATATGTCCCAAACTACCTATGTACTATATCCCATAATGTTATTTCCAAAAAGAAAACTATCTACTCTGTGTTTGAAGGAATCAACACTTCCTGCTTCAACTGTCTCTAGAGAACCTGTTCCACAGAGCATTCCAGCGCATGCAGTAAGGATGGATTCCCAAACCTCAGAGAAGCCAGTGTGTTGTGCTTGAATAGATCAATGGGTCTTGAGGAGATGCCTTTTCCTGTGGCATGAGTACAGGAGCCTGGTTGGCACTTGCGAGTGCAATGGTTTTGGCTGCCAAGTAGCACAAGAAATGATGGGTCCAAACACACTGTTGGAGCCAACAGCACAAAGGACCCCTCCTGCTTATTAGGACCATCAGGGTTAGTCATAGACATGAGTAGCTGGGCTTCCGATTCCCCACAAGTCTGCAGTTGAATACACACTCAGCACCAACCGATGATATTGCTCCTTGAACCAGGTGAGCATTTAATAGGAACACTTAAACAACAACCAGAAGATGTTCATGAGGGGACAACCCAGGAGCCTATTATCATTGGCATGTGTGCCATGACCTCCGAACACGTTAATAAATAGATTGTTTTTTGCATTGAAAGTATGTTGCAGTGCATCATTCCATCTACGTACATAACACAGAGGCTCAAATGTACAAAGTCAAAGAACAATAAAAGATTTTAAAGCCAGAGCAGTCTGTGATGGTGCCGATATCCTTAGTGACCGCTTACCTGGTATTCTTTCAAAGCACTTCATAGAATATACTGTAAAGTAAATTGACTGTATATTTTGTGGGCGAAACGCGGCAGCCAATTGCGCACAGCAGTGTCCCACAAACACTTGTGGATTGAGTAACCAAATTATTATTTTATTCTTTAAATTTATTTTGATGGGATTATTATCCCCGGAAAAGCAATCTGCCAATCGATTTACAACCAAGTTCCTACTTACTGCTAGGTAAACAGAAGCACATGGAGTAACTTACCCAAAGTCAAGAGGAAAATAACAGCCTACACCAAACATGTGAATAAAGGTCCTTTGGGCAAGATAACAGAAGTGCTTTTGACCCATGGAATGGTTCCCTGGCAGGAGAATTAAGAAGACAAAGTCCTTCATGTGGGGGGAGGGGTGGAAGAGATACCAGTGAGGGCCATTACCTAACAATAAGTATGAACTTGGTTGTCAGTCGATTGGTAGATCCCTCTCTCTAAAAAAAATATTGTGGTCATTCAATCCACGATTGATTGTGGGACACTGCTGTGAGCAATTGTCTGCTGTGTTTCGCCTAGAAAATACACAGTCACTCCACTTTACAGTATGTACTGTGCTGCACTTTGAGACGTCTTGAAGATGTGATAAGGTGCTATATCAAATGTAAGCATTACCAAAACCCCCACCCTCGCCCGGCTCCACTGTCTCCCATGCACCAGAGGATAGAGTTCAAAATCCTCGTCCTCGCCTTCAAGGCCCTCCACAGCTTTGCTCCTTCCTACCTCTGTGACCTGCTGACCCCATATCAACCTGTCCACTCACTCCGCTCAGTGGGCTCTGGCCTGCTCCACTTCCCCCGCCCCATCGTCGGTGGCCGGACCTTCAGCCTCTCTGCCCCCACCCTTTGGAACTCCATTCCACATTTCCTTCGCCTGAACTGAAGTAAAACTTTACTGTGCCACAAACACAACACAGATATTTCAGATTTGTCCAGTCATTGTAATGTGTGAAAACGTTTTATACTTCTAGGCTTTAAAAATAACCTAAATTGAGAACGCCTAAACCTTGCACAAATTACACGGTTCTGTTGCTATGGAAAGCTCCATGGTGATGTACAGAATTCTTTGCTGATGACTCTTCTGTACTTTCAGACATCACTGTTTTGAGAGCTCAGAGATTTTCACTGGAAGGAGGTTACTTAACAATAACAACAACTTGCATTTATATAGCGCCCTTCACGCCGGACGGCGTCTCAGAGCACTTAAGACAAGAGAGTTTCTCCTGGTGTCCTGGCCAACTATCATCCAGATAAAACTGGCCATTCACTTCATGGCTATTTGTGGGTTGATTGCTGGGCACAAATTGGCTGCTGAGATTGTCTACAAAATAGACAGTCACTACATTCACAGTAAAATGATGTGATACGGCACTATATCAAATGTACGGATTAATATTACTTCCTCTTGTAAAATAATTTGCACTTATTTTTCAAATGTTATCCATACAATAATTATTCCACAGTGGATTTTTCCTGACCTGCAGAACTAATGGAACTTTAGTCCCTCAGTTACTAATGTTACTGGTTGGGCTGAGTGAGTGGATGGTAGGAAATACAGAATATGGGATAACCAGATAATCGGGATGGAAGAATATATATACACTTTGCTCAATTGACTTTACAAATCAGGAAGTCTTTTCTGAGCTTTCCTTCAGAAGATTGTCATAAAATCTACAACTGGGGCAAGGACTTGAGCTCAGAAGTGAACAGATTGGTCAGATTCAAATACTTTTACATGAAGACCTGGACTGATGTGGAATAGAATGCTGAAGGAAGCAATGGAAGCAGATT